GTGTTCGAAATGGCAGTGGAGGTTTTTCATTGGTATCAACATGATCAGCCATTAACTCCTTGTGCCTCTGTGAACCAAGAGCTCTTTCAAAACGTACAATGAATTCCATCAATGTGTTTTTCCGGTTAATATATTATTTGAAAAATGCATGACAGCTTTCAGCCTGTTGACTACTTGACATCCCAGCTGAAAACACATGTTTTACATATGATGGAACCCAATTCTCCCGCAAAGCATGAATCGAGCTCAGCCATGGATGGTCTTTCAGCCTATTGCTTGTGACGATTTCATCTCATTTTGCATCAAATTCTTCTTTCGTGTCCATACCCCATATGCATTTGCACATTTCCGAAAAACATTCCCCAATGCCGGGTTTCTCCATAAACTTATTCAAGATATGCCATATGCAATATCTATGGAATGTTGTTGGGAGAGTTAAAGCAATTGCCTTTGACATGGCTGCATCTTGATCAGTGATGATCATTTTGGGTGGCTCACCTGGCATGGCTTTCTTAAATTCTTCGAACAACCATACAAATGAATCCGTGGTTTCACTAGTTAGGAGTGCACAACCAAACAACACTGTTTGCCTATGGTTATTAACGCCTAACAAAGGCGCAAAGACCATCCCATAGCAGTTCGTGTTGAACGTTGTATCAAATACCACCACATCCCAAAAAACACATAAGCTCGTCTTGACCTTGCATCTGCCCAGAAAACATTTCCCATCATTCCTTCCAAATCTACCTCCATATTGAAATAAAATGATTCATTTTTTCCTTGCTCAGCCAAAAAATGCTCCTTCAGCAGCTCTGCATCATGTCCAATCACCTCCCCACGCACGTCCCTTGCATAATTATAGACATCTCTCCTAACAAACCCAACATTTTCCAATCCCCCTACTTGCACCTCAAGAAGGCTTACCTGTTTATGTACAGGGATATTAACTTTTCTCATATGTGCACTATAGGCCTTTGTAGACTCTGTTAAGTTACGGTGAGATCTCAATAGATGGACTTTATCAACTGTGGTCATGTCATGGTTGTGTACCTCATTGAATCCTACAACAGTGTACTTATTCTTCTCGTTTACCTTCAAAATCGCAAGTTTAGCCTTGCACCCAGTTCGAGTACAACCTCGCTGTCTTCTCTTACGACTAATAGTGCTTGTCAACGCATACCCTTGTTTACAGCATACATATTCTTTCCTTGTTACCTCTCCTGTGAATGTGCACGTGCTCGTTGTAGAACAATGAATGCCAAATCCGGCTTTCGCAGCATACATATTATAGAAATTGAACACATCCTCACAGCAATCAAATTCAAGTCCCAATTTTGATTTCAATTCCGAACTAACTTCCAGTGTCACCTGTCCTTCGCACTCCATTTCATTGAATATCACATCATCACCATCATATATGACATTAAAATCACTATATGTGAAACATTAAAGACCTACATACACACTAACGTAACTCGTGCTGATGCCCAATATTTGGCACAGGCTTTCAAACAACTTTAAAATATATATCAACTAACATATGACATCCAAATGACTCTCTGGTGAAACATTAAAGACATGCATACAACCTAATCTGACTAATGCTGATGCCCAATATTTGGCCCATGCTTTCAAACAGCTTTACAACATATATTAACTAACATATGACATGCAAATGACTCTCCGCTGAAACATTAAAGTCATACATACAACCTAAAATGACTCATGCTGATGCCCAATAATGAAATTGACAAATACAGTATATGGCTTACCTCGTAACTGATTTTCAACTTCAAATTTCAACAACTATGACAACGTAACGTAGCCCTTTTAGATTTGGACGTCAACCCCAAAAACTTTTCTTCTTCCTCAACCCCTGTTTCGCCCCCGCTCAAGGATTTCAAAACCAACAGAGCAGAACCACAACGGTACGGTCAGCACTTTCCAACTCAA